ACAAATTACAATTATTTTTTTTTTGAGAAATTAATAATGGAGATTTTATCAGAATTCTAATTTTTTGAGAGAGGTATCTCTTGGGTCATTCGTTTCTTTGGATATCCTAATGCCGATTTCACGAATGAACTCCAATGCTTGGGGGCCTAAGGTACCAAATGTTTCGATTCCTATTGCATAAAAAATGAAATTATCTCCCAAATAATTGTATTTCCGTGTTTTCGTTTTGATGTAATAATATTTTGGAGGATTTAGTGTTTACTATTATGGAATTGTACTATAATAATTTTTAACCATCAACATTTTTTTAGTTTTTTTTTTTTGTTATATAGTTTATGTATTGAAGCCGTGAGGTATGTCATATTACTATGGGGAGCAATACCAGCAGAACAACGTCTCTGTTTTGCATAAAAAAGGCAATAAGAGCTATAATTAAAATGGCAAACAGGTAGATCTGCAAAACTGTATTTGCAGAGTTGATTCCATTACTCTGTCTTTATTCAATGGAAGCAGTATGTCATATGTGATTTATAGAAATGGTAAATAATAAAAGTATTGTTGTTATGATATTTACAAAGAAACCTATTTCCAGAATATTATGATCTGGTGTCAAAGGGACCGATAAAATGAATTAATTGAATCTGGTATTTTGAATGCTATTGCAAAATCATTTAATTATATATTATTCATCATCAATAGATGTGTATTATTTTTTCATTTATATTTTGATTGTTGAGTTCATATTTGGAAGAGCGTTGAATGAGAGTGTGATATTTTTACAGGAAACAGCACTTAGAGCTATATGTCAAGCGCTAAATATTTTACCTGCGGTCTGCCTGTACAGACATGCAGATATACATGAAAATCAAACTAGACATATTCATTCCATCTATCCAAACTTAATTATCCTCCAAATAACATTAAATGGTCCCCTTTTGAATGGTATAAGCATCTATAACTAATTACCCGTACATATTAGGAATAAACCCTAAAATAATCTAAATTCCGAAACATCATTCTTTGAATGAACAGACAAAAAATTCAAATTGTGATGAAGGTATTAGTCAGAAAAATATGAAATAAACCAGAAGTTCTTCAGAGATTTGTGTAGGGACTAGTTTGATTTGAAATATTTGTTAAAGATTTGTCTGCAACTTGACAATGCATACCAAATCAATGTCAATAAATGTTTGCAACAAAAATGACAATAGTAAAAAGTTTTCCCTAATGAAGCAGAGATATAGATCAGGAACCTCTACTGAATATGCCTTGAGGCTGTGGTACATATTTCCAACAAGAAAAATTAATTTTGATATGATATATAGAAAAGCTCTGGACCAGCGAGGAACCTGTTGAATGTTTTGTTGGTGTGCATTTTCAAATGTATAATACTTGAATAATTTGAGCTAGTCTGTAGTCTATCTTTATGTAAGTTTTATAAATCATCCAATACATTACTTTTATTGTTTATTTACCTCCTGGGTATTTTTAAAGCGGTTTCATGTTTTTTTTGCATATCTTTTGCATGTTTGAGCTCATCTGCAGTAAGTAAGCCCACATTAGATCTGGGATTTATGAATTTTATGTTGAGTTTTTCAGCTTGAAAATCAGTTCCAGCCAATTCAGCCGTAGACAAAAATTCTTGGAAAGAGGACTCTTCTGTAACGGACTGCAGATTCAATCGTCCCCAGTCATATCCATCCTGAATCTCAGTCGTATGTAACTAAAATAACAAGAAAAATCAAGTTGAATAAGTTAAGTTATTAATTTCTCTTTCATTTACCATTGAATTATTGGCAACCATTTTTCGCCCTTTACTGCTACCAAATCTGTCTTTAATAAGACTTCGACCTAAACCGCTTTTTTGATTTTTCTTTCCCATATTGCAAAAATCTCGTTTCACAACAAAAAAACACAACCTGATTTTATTTATCAACCACTAACCTCAAAATTAAATTTTTTCTTCTTCTTGATTTTCTGAAAATTCATCATAGCTAGATGGTGCGCTAAGGACAATTGTCAAAAAAAAACAAAATGTTCATGATCTGCAAGCACCTCACGTATATTATATCCGACACTATCTATCTAACATGGTAACGACTCACAGATGTCCTCGGAATATGACGATGAATATTGCGATATTGCTCTGATATGACAAGATTGCGTCTTGGTGAATATTGGTAATATTCACAATCATATCGTGATTGTGATATCAGCGAAACATTACTCTTTGATGTCAAAGAGATATGTATTATATTATATCGAGACAATCTCCATGTACAAATTGGAAGAGGTTTATTTTAGTGAGAGAATAATTTTTGGGAAATAAAGGTTTTGGCTTTCTACTTCTCCATCTTAATACAAAAAATGTAGGAATCTTCTGAAGAAAGGAAGGAAGCAAATAATTTCAAAAAATTATTGTCACAATATCCTAGTCTAATATCCCATCAACCTCCTAAATAGATGTCTTTGATATTTGCTTTTTTTGAAAGGATTGAAACTGGAATCCAAATAATTCTTTCACTCAAACACCATAAACTTATTTACTGCTGAATCACGAATATGTTGTTTTCTGGGTTCTAGTTTGAACTAGGTGTCTTGTAGTAAAAGCTGAATTAAAAGTCACAGGACGAATCTCGTTCGGCGATCGATGTCGAATTTTGGTTTTGCAACTGATTTGATATTTGAGAAGTGAGTCAACATAAATTGCGTCTTTGTGAAGAACATATTCAGATTGTTTCATTCGAAGTGATAACTTGGATGTTTCAAAATATCTGCTTGATACTTTTTTCATCAGAAGAATTTCACCGATTGATCGCAAAATATAACGTCATTGATCAGTTTACGGTGAAGGTTATTTTCAGTGAAAAGAGAAGCAATGGCCGAAAATAACAAGTGTCAGGATACTATTATTGTCAAAACAAAATATTCACTTATGTATTTATTTGTCATACCTAAATACTAACAACTTCTTCATATTTTGAGCCATGTCACACTACTACTTACCAAAATGAATAACAACCACTCCTGTAATACTTCTTTAACTTCTTTAAACTTTCAAATTCAAATTTTGTTTTCAGTAGTATATCTTTAATTAGCCCCAACCATTAGAAGACTCTTGACTGCTAATCGGTCATCATCGATGTATACTAGTGAGAAAGAGAAAAGTTTGATGAAATCCGTCGGTTAAATGTCGGTGACAAAAAAAGAACAGTTCGATTGTATCGTAAAGTAAATGGGTATAAAAGGAACACGCTTTATTATGACACATGAGTACGATATTAATCTATCATATCAGATAACAAAATACATATGCACGTGCACATACTTCGAACGGCAGGCATTTAAAACCCTTCCAATGCATTTGTGAATCGACCTAACAACACTAATGCGACACATATGATGTAGAGATGGGCCCAAAAGAACCGAACTGGTTTTTCGGAACAGGTATCAGTCAACTGTTCAGTGAACCTGTTCTTTTCAATGAACTGAACTTGTTCAGACGATGAGTGGCTATTCCAAAGACGCTTGCGCAGGTTGGTGCTGGAACTGGATGACGGGACCGCTATGTGACCTGTGCTCTCGACTGCATTGAGCATTGACAAAACAAAATTGTTTTCTATGAAATTTTAAACATAAAAATGCAAAACGAATTAATTAAATACCCACCTGTTGCAAAATTGTAGATCCCTGTCCCTGTGAATTCTCCTCAACGTGAGTTTTCACTATTCCTTTAGTACAGTGTTTCACAAAGTGTGCGCCGCGGCGCCCTGGGGCGCCGTGGAACCTTTACTGGGGCGCCGAGGGCCACGGGTGAGTCTCAAGGTACAACGTTTTACAACATATATAACTGAGAGTAAAGGTAATACGTCGGTACCTATTAAAAAAAAATCCTCTGATAATATGATATTAGTAATTGCAAAATGCAATCCGTTCAGACAGCCACCTACCTACTTTTATTACCTAAATATCCAATGTAATGTTTACGTTCGGAGCGCCGCGATAACCTTCAAAAAACATAAGGGAGCCGTGAATTCGAAAAGTTTGATAAACACTGCTTTAGTGGGTAGAATTTTTACCGTGGGGTGTTTTTTAAGCATATGACGCTTTAAATTTGTCACGGAAGATTTGAAGGAAATAACCTGCTTGCAAATTTCACATGTTGCTAGCAACTGCAACTAGTTGCAGTTGTTTCTCTGTGATTGAAAAGAAATTCCAAATATGGCTCGAACTTTCATTTATTTTACATTAAAATTCAGCCTGTTACTAAACCTCTAGAACAACAAGACGAATGTAGGGAAAGTACGGAAATCCAGAACCACTCGGAACCGAACGCTAAAAAGTGACCATGACGTAAGATGAGACGTCATTTAAGAATAGGTGAACATGAATAGTTAAAAAGAACCGGTTTTCGATAAGAACTGGAACAGTTCGAACAAGTTCTTCAAATTTAACTGTTCAGTGCCATCTCTAATATGGGGGGTGGAAACAGTACTGTCTGCCTGTGTTGTTTTTGGATCCTAGTTTAAAATGGTCACAGTCTCAGAGTAATAATAAGACATTATTGTTCTGAGGTCACAGTACTGTCAGTCACAGTTTAATAATGATACTTGGCAAGACTAAACTTTCATTTATTTTACATTAAAATTCAGCCTGTTACTAAACCTCTAGAACAACAAGACGAATGGAGGGAAAGTACGGAAATCCAGAACCACTCGGAACCGAACGCTAAAAAGTGACCATGACGCAAGATGAGACGTCATTTAAGAATTGGTGAACATGAATAGTTAAAAAGAACAGATTTTCGATAAGAACTGGAACAGTTCGAACAAGTTCTTCAAATTTAACTGTGCCATCTCTAATATGGTGGGTGGAAACAGCACTGTCTGCATGTGTTGTTTTTGGATTCTAGTTTAAAATGGTCACAGTCTCAGAGTAATAATAAGACATTATTATTCTGAGGTCACAGTACTGTCAGTCACAGTGTAATATTGATACTTGGCAAGACTGACGTAATATCTCACAATTGACAGTTCAAAGGCGTACACTAATTTTTTTACGCCACTTCTCAAAGGAACCAATCTTATTAATTTTTGTATGTTGGTCGGAATGAATTTTTTCATTCTAGCTAGACGATAAACAAAGATTTGGTTATAAATCTCGTTGGATATAAATATGATTGATTAATCTCCTTATCTATGTACAGTCAAGGAAATGGAACTGGACAAGTTATTATTACACCTTCGTTGCGATTGTTGAAGGTGTTTGTATACATACACACACACACAAACGGATAATCACTACCCTTCTTGACATAAACAGGTGATTTGGAAAGTATTGCAAGTAGGTATTTCAGTGAGTTTTTCTATACAATAAGATATCTTTATTTATGTTTATTATAATATTTTTAGAGTAACTATGTGCTATTTATACGAGTGGGTTAACAAAATTAGGTTTGTTCAAATACTTTTTAGATTGGAAGTGATTTGAAGCCATTGTGTAGATTCTATTAGTGTTCCCCAGAGCTAGAAACAGATCAGTAAGGATATTGGATTTGCTTTCATTCACATATGCCCTAAAGAATAACTCCAGCACACTAGGCAGCCACAGTATCGAGAAACTCAACAAACTGTTTTTCTGGTGCTGAGCGTTGTCGATTTGCTTAGATTCAGCGGAAGTTTGAATAATTTTTGCATATAAAATGACTCCAAAGTATGCAGCTATGAATATAAAAAAGTAGAATAACTTTACAGAAGTATCTATCTTGGGACAGCTTTTTTCAACCTCTTTAGGGTGTCTTTGATTCGGTTTGATAAAGTACACAATATCTATCATCATGGGAGTGAAATTAGTTGTTTTCTTAGAAACATTCTCTCGGACTTGGCTCACGATGTCGTACACATTACTTATTATTTGGTCCACCTCTGTAGCATTTGCTTGCGAGAAATTCACAGGGCTTTTTACTAAATTTGCCAAATTAGGGTCAGATTGAGTTGATGTGAAGTTGATAGCATTTAGGAAGTTCACATCGTACCCAAAATTTTCAACAGGTTCCAGCTTAGTTATACAGTACAAAATTATAACGCACACCACTGGAAGAGTCCACATGAAGAAAATTTCCAGAATGAATTTGTATTTCTGTGGCTTTTCGACTTTCTCATCTGCAGTAGTTGCTTGCTTGACAGGCTGTTTCATTTGAGTTCTGCTATTTGACTGGGATTTAACAATTTTCGCTTCAAACAGCTTCAGATTGGGGCCATCAACAGTGGTGGTTGGTTCCTCATTTGCGAACAGTGGTCCTACTGGGGCAGAGGAATCATTGGACTCACTGTTGCTGTCCTGTTCTATTTTCTGATCACCAGGTTTTGTTGAGTGGGCTTTGCTTTCTAGGGCTTCATGCATGGTAATGCAATTTTTGCAGTACAGGGTTTTGTTTAGAAGTGTAATCAAGCAGTGCATGAATGAGTACAGTAACAACGCATTCTGCAGAAAAAACTCGTAGTAGCAGCCAGGCGTTTCTCCCTCAAGTTTTATATCTCTTCTTGTCCTTGATTTCGAAGGGGGATTTGTCATAACTACAAAAGTTTGGTTAGAAGTTGAAGAGTTCGCCATTTTCTCTTTCATCATGGTTTGAATGAATTTCTGATAGTTCACGAGGAATTGGTCTGTTTTGCTTACCCCTGGCAATGATTCCTTTACTTCTTCGACATCGTTGGGGAAATTGGTATCCTCAGACACGGGAGTGATGCCTTCTTCAGTTGGATCACTCTCTGGTTTAGATTCGGCTGTGGTAGGATTCTCAACACTGATTGCTTGATAGTATGTTTCAAACGTATCATTCCTGGTTACAATATCATCAATGGTGTTTGTGAAGTTTGTAGCCGGATTCTCAGGCCTGTTATTTGCAAGTATCATCGCAGAGTACAAGTAGAATATGCCAATAAACACAGTCACTAAAGATTCTGATAAAGATTGGAGGGTCTCATTATTCTTGAAGTTTTTCAGAATCAATCGAACAAAAATGAACGTGTACACTATTCCCACAAATGTTAGGGCAGTGCCTATTACTGCAAATGATTGAAACATTTTTACACTACCTCAGTCTTGTTTGCATCAGTACTAACTTTGATTTATCTCCTCAGTTGAGGCATACCCACATCTTTGGCTTTTAAAGGTTTATGTGGGTTTTGATAATCATAACTGTATATGTTATCAAGCAGGTACTGCTACGACAATTGAGTTTATGTGTAATTGATACAGGTCATTTGTTGCACAGGGCGTTTTTCTATTTGTGGCTTTAAAAATGAATATGAAGAAAACAATACACATTAAATGTATTAGTGAGTGTCTGGTATGAGTGATATTTGTTTTTTTTACTGGAGGAATATATGAATGTTCTAAAATATTAATTTTTATAACACTCAAGTCAAATAACTACTAATGATTATTTCTCCGATGCTGCCGAAACCATTTTAACTTATCTACCAAAAACAAATAGAACTTGTTTCAATATAAATGATTTCAATTATCTTGTAACTTTTTTTTTTTGTAATAACAGATGACTATTTTCTAATGATATGAAAAGTGAAATAATAAAAATGACTTCATATATTGTATTAAAATTGCTCACTAGCTGGATTAACTAAGATTTTTCCACTGGTATTTATATAGATGTATTTGAAGAAGACAATTATCTTCCAAGAATGTTAGACCCATGTCTCTTGAAATAATTTCTTTCATAATAATTGAAAACATCTTGTGATTAATAAGAAAATAAGTTTCTGAAAATTGTTCAACAGTGATGGTTCTTTGCTTAAATCCATTAGTGATCTATTCGAAGGTCTGTTTTTTGTTTTTAATTACCCCCTGTCTATCATATTCTGATGCAAAACCTAGATTATGAAACGAGAGGTACATCAGTCTGCCTTAGGGTCAAACCACTTATTAATTTACATATATAAATATGAATAAAGTGAAAAATTGTTAGAATAGGAGGTCAATACTGGTACTTATATTGTTTCTAATGTATAAATGATCTTTTAGAACAGATTAAACTAGTCGTAACTCGACCATATTCTGATGATACAAAGCTATATATGCATACAGAAAAATCAAGAAATGGGCACAAAAGAATATTTTTCTCACTACCAGAATAACTTCAGCAGCTTTTCAATTACATCTCATGATTCTTCAACATTAACTTTAAATAATGTTCCTTTTTCTGAATCAACAAGATTACTAACCCTACTACCAATTGTTTAAAGTAGGATGTACATGTTAACAATCTATCTTCAAAGCTATCAAAAAAAGTATCATGCACTATGTATATCCTTTATCTAATGTAGTTTTTGTAATGTTAGAAGAATGTTTTCATCCAAATATATGCTATCATTCATTTTGATAAGTTTGCAGAAGCTCATAGAATGTTTACTTTAAGAAAAATCATTTTTCATATTTTATCTGGAAAAAGAACCAATAAGTTTTGTATTACAGGGTGGCCAAACGAAAATGATAAATAGATTCAATATCTTGAATTAAATTTCACATTCATCAATTACTGTTTCTTATGATGCACTGTTTGGAACTTATGATGTAGTAATGAATATTACTGGAGTTCTATGCCAACACCAAATCGCTATTTTTAACACCTCGACACGTGTTTCGATCACCAAGTGATCATCTTCAAGAGGAAGATTAAACTAGAAACTATCGCGAAGCTAACGCTATTTATTGGTGATCGAAACACTTGTCGAGGTGTTAAAAATAGCGATTTGGTGTTGGGAAAAAACTCCAGTAATTTTAATTACTGTTTCACTAAGACTTTCCTATTTTACCTTTAGCTTGCATATACGTGAAAAAAATTGCTTGTTATATAAAAGTGCAACAAGTCTGGTGAACTTTGAGGCCATTTAATGCTACCACTTCTTTCACTTCAGTCCCAGGAATAATGTTAGTCGAGTCCACAGTATGATGAAGGTAATTTGACATTTCCACTAAAATGGTGCACCTCCGAAGTTACTGGATGTCTCTTGTTTTTTTTTTTGGGAATAAGTACTATTCATAGAAAACAATCACTGTATTATTTGCGGCAAAGATTTGTTTTTCGAATACTGTCGAATGACCCTGGAACTGTGTTGGAATGTGTAAGAACGTTTTGATCATCTTCATTATAATAATACATAATTTTCAAATGTATTTTTCACAAAACTATTTGCCGGAATTTCAAAATTCCAAGACTACTCCAAAGAGAATTTCAAGGGCTTTTTATTTGGGTCCCAAACTATTTAAACGTTTAGGGGTTAGTGTGACTCTCATTTGGGAAGTGGAAGAATTGAAAATACCGGATATGAATTCCCCTCCAATATAAAATTTACGGATCTTTGCATATTCCTATGATATTGATGATGTTTCTGTTTCAATTCGTTTGTCCACACTGTACATATATGAGCATATTTTAATATGAATACTATAAAGCTTATTGCAATTTTAAATTATTCAAATGAACAAACTGGTAAACTAGCAGGTGTCACTATTGTGATAAAGTGATCTGGAACAATCACACTGACCTAAAATTTAATAGATTAGAAAATTCTAGTTTTTGGCGAATATTTTAAAAACAACTACTGATATTTGTGATACATATACATACGTAACATATAATGATTTTCAGTCAGACATGTTCAAAAAACAAATTTACTCTATTTCACAAATCGCCAAGCTTTCGTCTCTGAATAGAGACGTGAAATGAAATACAATAGAAAAGAACTAAATAAATGGACAATACTTACAAGTATCCTTAGTTTTACAATTGAAAATTGAATGTTGATGAAAATTTTGATGTTTTGATGTTAATGATGTCATAATTTTCAGATATCTGATATTGGTAATGTCATGTTCAAAGCTTACTGTATTGACAAGAGTGACATTATCATTGAAAAGATTTCTATTTCATAAATGCTCATTGAATGAATTTCATACAACGTGTGAATATTTTAAATTCAGAATATTACCGAGATTTATCTGTCTAGTAAATAATTGTAAATTGTACTTAGATTTTCAATGTCTGTTTTTTTATTCATATTAAAATTTAATTTTGTGTCCTGTTTCAATAGAATGTTGAGCTAGTGTCCATGAATTTTTGTTTAATCTTATATTACTTTTGTGTGAAGTTATTCTGCTTGATAATGTTCTGGAAGTTGTTCCCATATAATTTAAATCACAATTATTAGATGGTATATTGTAAACAACGTTTAATTTTTTTCAAATCAGGTGTAGAATCTTTTAACCGTGTTTTAATATTTCCAATAACTTTAATATTCCTTTTAGGAATTTTGATATCCTTTTCATTGTGAAAAACTTTAATTATTTTGTCTTTTATCTGTCTTCTATCTGACTTTATTATTCTTCGGGTGATTACCATCACCGGACGTCTTGATGGGGGGGTAAGCATCGGTAAATTAGGGGTTTCCAGGTAGTTGGAAGTCTCTGACCGTCATCACGTTTGTTCAGGCAGGAAAGTCGCTTTTTGATTTCGATGGCCTCACGAATTATCCAAGCTTGTAGTGTTTTCGCTGTGACGATGGTCTTGGTGTTCGCAAAGTCTATGTTGTGTCCTGTTTCTTGATGATGTTTGGACAGGGCTGAGGATGGTTCTGATTTTTGGACAGCAAGGTGATATTCGTATACTCTACTTGTCACACGTCTGATAGTACAAACTATAGAATTACAAGTATTTATTCACCTCATCACCTTCATATCTTATTTCACCTTCTCTGACTCGTTTCGGTTTGAAAATCAACATTTTTCCTATAAAAAACTGTATTAATTGACAGAGCCTCTTTTTCCGAAATGTCACTAGTATATGATCTACATCTGCATCTACAGAAGCCACCAGAAAACGAATCCACTGTTGAATCGAGCTTTTTTTTATGAAAAAGGTTAATTATTTAGCTGAAAAGTGCCGTAGAAGGTGCTAAAAGATGTGGAAGTGATGTGGCGAATTAATACTTGTAATTTTATAATAAGTAGGTATTTTACAAAAAGAAGGTTGAAAAGTTTCGGATCTTTGAAGGGTTGTAATTGTGGAAATGAGGGAGAGCACCAATTTTTTCTTTCAGATTCATAATCTACATGTCAAAACATGTCAGTACACTTTTTTTTTTTCAAAAGCGACGGGAGCAGCCTATCCTGAATTTTATCGATGGTTTTTCACAAAATGAATTTTTAACTGGCCCAGACTTGTCAAAACGTTTTATCTGAAACTTAAATATCTACACGAATTTTTGACACCAATATATAAGCTGTAGTTTTATAATTTTTTAGATATGCCGATCAGACGAAATGTTGACCCGATTCATGTGAAGCGGATTTGGAATGCTATAAGGACTGCAAATCATTCCCGAGTCTCGGCGGATGTTACGAAAATCATTAGATATCTTCAAAATATAGATAATTATACGGTGGCTCAAGTCGAACTGTATGTAAAGCAGGCTGTGAACGAGAAACTGATACTGTAAGTAAACTTATGTTAGATCGAAGATAAATAGAACTCGTTCTTCCTAATTCCAAAAAAATAGTATCTCAACCTTTTATTACCTCGAAGACTACCACAAACTCCTATTCCTCGGGAGAATTGGAAATACAAGTCGAAACGGTATCATAAAACGCCTAAAAAGCCATTGAAAGTGTTACGGTCTGATCGAGACAAAACGTGGTATAAAACGGAATATAATTTGAGACAACTCACCTCATGTGCAAAAACCCGACGCAACCCTGAGACGTTGAATACTGATACACCATAGACTTATCCTCTATTATTAAAGAAAATCCGGCAATATTCAGAAAACACTATAACCCAAAATTAAAATCGCCGATTTGGAATGAAATAGTGAAGAATCAACAACAATACGTAATAGGCACCATTCATCCAATCTATCCAAAATCTACACGGTCACTGTTCCGTCGACCAAAATATACGATACGGTTTTTTGTTTGTAGCTAATTTTTTTCCATAAGATTCGCAGACCCAGGCCACAATTGAAATCGTTCATTCTAACCTGCGAACGAAATAAATGAATTGGCATGTGTGACGATACTTAATACATCTGCAGAGTGTTCTTTCGCGGCGCTACCCTAGTATTTTGAAACTTTTTAGAATTTTATTAAAAACACGTTACACCCTTCCTAGATTTGACAAGCTGTATATAGCATGCATAATATAGTAGAGAAACACTGATCATTTCAGATGTTTCCAATGTGATGTGAATTAACACATTTTTTTGTGCTTACATTGCAAACACTGGCTGAACCCTACAAAATAGATCAGAAAATACACTACAGTATTGTACACCTTAAAGAGGTCAACAAAAAGACCGCGACGGTATATGTCTCTTAGGGTTAACCCACAATAACAATTTTTTATCCTCGAGAAATAATGGCTTATTTACGAAGCGATTTTAAGCAATATGGCACTAATCCTTATCCAATTAAGTAGCTCAAATACTTTGTGCATTTAATATTGATCAAAGCATGTAAATTGAATGAATATCTTCGAAGATGTTACAGATTTAAAATACAAGAACATAGCAGTTGCTGGCTACCTGCCGGGGGGCCAGCGGAGCGTGTTTATAAATAGTGCGTCGAAGGCCGCGCTTTGCCCTATAGCACTTCATGATCAACAGCGATCACACGCGTTTATATGTACATTTAGCAATATTTTTTGGACAAAATATTTTGTTTCTATTTTTTATATAATGTGGCATTAAAAATACATATCACCCTCAATTTTCACCCTTCTATCACCAACCCATATTTTAAAAANTGGCTAGCCATGTGAATAATTGCGGTGAAACGACCTATGGCGGAAAAGCGCGCTCGCCTCTCTTTCACCAAACACATGGATGAAAACACATGGCTACCTTCACACTGGTTATAATTTTTATGCTTAATATAATTGTTATTTTTCAGCTAAATTTTTTATTTTTCACAGATTCTTTCAGGGGTTTCAAATCAATTTGTATCATATTAGACAATGGAAGTCCGAACTAATGTCAAGCACCTTCAAACAAAGGTTTTTTGGATGGAATACATGATTCTGATTCTAAATATGAGCAATTTCAATAATAAAGAATAATGTCAAGATTTTATGTTTAGGTTTATAATTACTTATGAAATGCTAAATTTCCATTGGAATATTTTTAATCATACATATATGTTTTACTACTTTGAATATTTTATATTTTTCAAAACGGTTATTGAAATTTTTATTATCGATTGTGTTTGTCAAGTCTGTTTCTAGATTGAGTGATTGATAAATTCATTTCGGAAGTATCTGTCATTCAAATTTGTGATACTATCCCGTTTCCTGTCGTTTCTAATACTTTCAACATTTTTTTTCAGTCCCAATAAAAAACACGATCTTGGAAATCAGACATACAAAATTCCTACCCATGAAACGGTGAGTAGTAATGGCGATTTTATTGAATATGATATAAAAAACATATATTTGTCAACAAGAAATTGATAACTGGAAATGAATAAAAAAAGAACTGTTCAATAATCTAGCCCTTGCTAAAAAATTAATATATTATTTGAATAAAATCAATTCAATCATCACAAAATATCCTCTCTTCTAGACGGAACTGGACGGGAAAGACTGGTATTGCTTTGAATGCCATCTAGCAGGCGACGTAACCCCCTGTGCTAAATGCTATCGAGTGTTCCACCAAGACTGCATAGGGGGAGCGAGAAAAAAGTTCGAGAACCAGAAGAACACCAACTTTGTACGGATTCCCCCGAAACCTGCTACAGAGTCCAGCATAGACACGGTCACTATCATTTGCGATGACGACGAGCCTCTGGGTCATTACGAAGCTAACTTAACTGCTCCTAGTTCTTGGATTAGTAACGAGTCAGACAACAGGAGCAATATCATTTTTGACGAAGAACTGTGTGCGATCTGCAACATATATCGGATAGACAACAGCTGCGAGATGAGCAAAACTGAAATCAATTACTTGCTGAAGTTTGTCTTGAACAGGATAAGGGCTTGGGTGAGTACGAATCAGTTTATGAATCTTTGGCTTTTTTTTTTACCTTGGGAGCTCTCTGACTTGTCCATTTAGTCCAAGTCTCCAGAAAACACTGCAGCCTCTTGGGCTTATTGCGTTTATTCTCCCATCTTCTCATGACACCCATTCAATCGGTCTCGTTCTCTGTACTAGTTTGTACAGGTTCCGTGTTGGATGTTTGTCATATTCTTTTGGGCGTAGTTTTGTACATCCATATATAGCCTGCCTCCTGTGATTCAGTGCCTCACATTCGCATAAGATTTGTAGAGCTGTTTCTATCACTTCGTTGCATAATCTGCAGCTGAGGTCTCCGTTGTACAGCCCCATTTTTATTCAGGTGTCCTCTAAGGGGACAATGACCGGTTAGTAACCCTGTAAGTATTCTGAGCCGATCCCTACTATATTGAAGTAGTTCTTCAGTTCTTTTCTCGGACGGTTCCCTAATGAAGGTTCTACTGTGTTTGTTGCCAGGTACTTTTTTCCAGTACTCTGTGTGCTTCTTATTGGTCCATGTCCTAATCTGATTTCGTAACAATGATTTTGGTACCCCCAGAGCTGGTTCAGGACCTATATATGAAGTTGATGATCCGCTTCTAGCGCATTCATCAGCTTTATCATTACCTGTGATTCCTGAATGCCCTGGCACCCAGTACAAAGTTAATTTGNAATAATGACAATTATCAAAATTTGACTGACAATCTCAAATGGGAAAATTCTGAATATCTCTAGATCTTTTATTCTCTTTATATGTGTTTCAGGTAATATGTATGTGTAGGTATGTGTTTCACTGAGATTTTCAATATCAGTTTTTGTTTCACTGAGTGTCCCTTGTGATTGATATGTTTCATTTCTGAAAATATTCTTGTAGTCGTATTAATTTCTCTATGTAAAATATGTGGGTTTTCGAAATTCATTCTATGATCTTCTGAAATAACATATTCTGTTAATGCATAAAAATTATCATTTCTTCTGCAGACGCTCTTATGCATCTTAATGCGACTATTTAGAGTTCTCGGTGTTTGTCCTATATATGTTTCATAACTATCCAATCAAGAAATTTTCTATACCGAATTGGATTTTTGTTTACTTGAAATTTGAACTTTGAGATTACTGTATGGTAGTGACATTTGTTTTGGGAATTTTGAGTTCATTACTTCGGAATACATGAACTTATTTTGGTGTTGATTCTTAGATTTATTTATGAATGAAGATGTAAAGTTGTTATGTTCAACTTCTCCATTATTTTGAAAGTTTGTTCTTTCGTAGAATAATATTCTGTTTATCAAATAAAATAGAGGTTATGGTCAGAGGGAATATCAAAATATTGAGGACCTTCAACACAGCATTGTTGGAGAGTTCGAGATTAAAGAGGAGGGAAATTAATCGTGCAGTGAATAGTATTAGAAGACGGGCACAGTTGTGCTCAGCATTTTGAGCATTTGTTGTGATTTACTTTTGTTTGTGATTTACATTTTAGTTAATTATTGTTATTTGTTCAAAGTTCTATTTTCATTGAAAAGGACACAATGTCTAATTTACCTCATACACACCTCATTTATCAAATTTTGATTGTTGATTCTATCTCCGTATTTTTTCCTCTGCTTTTCAAATGAACCAAACTCTGTTAGATTTTAATCCGATAACTTGAACATAGTTCAATGTGGATGTCGTCTTTCGTTTAAATACATTTCTGATGTCCTCACACTCTTTCTATAGTATTTGTAATAAATTTGTATCATTCGTGAAAGCCATTTTTCGCCAAAAATGTAATGACTTGTACAATAACAAAATGTCATTGAGTGTAACAAATTGAAATTCAAATTTAGAAACATCAAAGTCAAAGACTATTATGATAAGAATTATTTTTTTTTTCAATATTTCCAATTTTTCGAAAAAGAATGATAACTTATGATACATCATTGAATAGGTAAAATCTGTTTCTATTCAAAATGGAAAGAATCCAATGTAGTGCCCATAAGAAAAAATAAAGTTGATGCTGGTGGCCGGAAGACGAAACGTTGGATAGCAAATCTGAAAACACCATTATGTAGCAGGGAAAAAGTGGCAATGTGGAAGTGCAATTTATTTTCGAATCCTTCGAAAAATAAAGTCAGGAAAAAATAAAAACCATTATCTGAAATTTCTGTTTTTTTCGGATATCTCCGGATACACTCGGAATTTCAGAACTCTCTCAACGGCATATTGTTAGTCAGGTAAATGCGCAAATTTGACCCAATTTAACCATATTCATATCTCTCATAGTTTCTGAGATCCCAAAGGTGAAGATCGAATTTGAAACACCCTTTATGATGGTGGAATGCAGAACCTACTTTTTTGAAGTCGGTTGAAAAAACACGGTCCTGTTTTGAGTAAAAAATAAATGGTCACGTTAGATATACTCAACTTGTGAACGAAAATTAGAAATTTTTGTTAATGACGCTAGAAATAAGTTTTTGTCACTAAAATAGGATTGCCAAAAATAAATATCAAATGTCTCCTACTTTGTCGAGTGAAATATCTGTTTTATAAATAATTCTCTGCAGATTTCTTTTGACCAATTGATTTTCCCTCTTCAGCTACCTCACACCATCACACACACCATGGCTGCCGAAGAGCGCCCGGAATGGTTGACAGATGCTGAACTCACGTGGAGGGCGAACCAGCTCTTCTTCGAACACCGAGACATGTCTGTTATAGAGGTGAAGCTGAACACAGAAACATATTCGATGTTTTCCGAGTTCTTGGAGGACGTCTATATTGTGCAGCACAACGTGGCCATATTTCATGGAAGTAAGTGATTCGGTGTGCCGCAGGGTTCCATTTCGCGACCAGTACCCGATCGTGCACTACATTAATGCTTCTTTTTATAGTTGAATCCCAAGAATATGGTGCAGCAGAGCTGATGATACGGGACACCATCCACGACATTACGGAAATGAAGAATTGCGTCGACTGTTACAGGCACAGCAACGAAAAGATCAACAGCAAGTGGTTTTGTTTGCCGTGCAGACCGCCGCACACGCTCGTTTGGGCCAAGCAGAAAGGTTATCCATATTGGCCTGCCAAGGTGAGAAGTTTTTAGGCTGGGTTAGGTTAAAAGTGAGCAGGTCTTTCCGATTCTCCACTGCCACCAGCGAAAGTTTATTGTGGCTTACACTTATTCGAACTCAAACAAATAAACTCGGATTCTTAATGAAGCCGATTACTTTATTTGGCTAGTTCCAAACAGATGGCAAGCACTCTTAAGAGTCCCACCAAATGATGATTCAAGCAACAGTGCCGTGTGAGTGGGACTGTTAGACAATTCAGGTTATCCTTACTGTTATCCAACAATTGCTTGATTTAATATGTGTGATTGATGACTTGTTTACTTTATGGTAATTCATGATCTCTTAAATGAAATGAATAAAAACACTTGTCTAAATACCACTCGAAAATTTTATTTTACGACCGGTTTCGAGTTTGATCCCATTATCAAGTATAAAACTGAAATCTGAATTTGGAGCATGGATTTTATAGAATTTTCAGGTATGCTGAAAGGCCAGGTATTTGAGAGACAGGATGCCAACTTAAAATACCATCCTGAAAATTCTAGGGGTTGTTAAACTCATAAATTCAAG